ACTTATACCCCCCACTTGTACATCCCTTAAGTGCCCTAACCTGGGTACAGTTATAACTTGTAAATAAGTACCATGAACCTCCCAGAAGGGACCTTAGGGGTTCTTCAGGGCTTATTTAGGGGCTACTTAGGAATATAGGGACTATTAGGGGTTAATTCCGCGAATAAGATTGAGGGTCCCTTCTAGGGGTCCCTCCTTATAACCCTTAACTAGTTTCACTCGTTTGTGGCGGATACAGCCAGGGCGAAAAACCGCCAACAACAACCACCACCACCACCACCACCGGTCACCACCGCCGCCGCCTGCACCCCAAGCGCCCTAAACCCTGCATGAACTTCTAACGCTGAACCCTGAACCCTATAGGTTTAGGGATTCGAGCTTCAGTTTCTGATCTTCTGTGCAGGGCGGATGGGGGCGGGGGTGCCCCGCCCACGCCACCCATGCGCATAAGAACAGCCGCCTTGCGTGGGGACAGGGTGTAGGGTCCGGGGTCTAGGGTTTAGGGTTCGGTTTGGGGATTAGAATCTTTGGAAAAGGGTTCTGAAGGCAGTAATGGCACGGGTGCCCGAACACCAAGCCCTAAAGTCTCAACTCTCCCTCCTCGGCCTTGCCACGGGAAACCAATCAAAATGCAGAAGGGGCAGCCTTGAAGGGTCTCGGTCTTTGGGTTTAGGGTTAGGGTGCTGCGCTGGCAGTAGTAAGCTCTTCTAGAACCAAAACAGCAACATGCCAATCCTAGCTAAACCTTCCCACAGAAGCCACTCTTAAGCAGCAGATCCACAAGCCCGAAACCCTAAACCCTAAACCCTAAATCCTAAACCCTAAACCCTAAACCCCGAGATGCTGATCCTCGGGGTCCCCACTCAAAACGGCCCCAAATCTGTCAAGTCGGCCGGGCTCCGCGCTGACCCTGGCCACCCTTCTCATCATGTAGGCGTTGGCGCCTGAAGATTGGCGCGCGCGAGGGCACAAGACTGACCGAGGCCCCGGAAAACCCTATGAACCCTGTAAACCCCTGTGAACCCTATAAACCCTATAAACCCCTGTGAACCCGATAAACCCGATAAACCCTGTAAAACCCCAAAAACCCTGTAAACCCTACAAACAACAAATCCTATAAAGGGTTTCTCGTTCCCCCTGTTTCGAGCCCCCCAAAAAACCTAAACCCTCAACAAAAACCCTAAACCCTAAACCCTAAACCCTAAACCCTAAACCCTAAACCCTAAACCCTAAACCCTAAACCCTAAACCCTAAACCCTAAACCGCACACATAGTTGGGTTAATAAATACCATTGAACCTCCAGGCACGGGATCTCAGGGCCAACCTCGGAGCTCGCTTTGCACTTCAGGGTTGCTGGCATGCTGCGTGGTGTCATGGGTAGGGTTTAGGGTTTGGGGTTTAGGGTTTAGGGTCTAGGGTTTAGGGTTTGGGGTTTGGGGTTTGGGGTCTGGGGTTTGGGATTTGGGGTTTTGGGTTAGAACCTTTTAGACTTCGCAAAGCCCAACGAGGGGAAACAAGAAACACCAGAGCTTTGAAAGTTAAAAGAACCCAACCCCAAGCGCCACATAACTGGGGTGGATTGGAAACCCTAAACCCTGTAAACCCTAAACCCTAACCCTAAACCCTAAACCCTACAGAGTGTCGCACTGAGAAGCTGAAGACTATTTCAAAAACAGCCCCCCAGCCCAAATATCCCCCCAAAAACATGAGAGTACCCCTCCAAATAGTCCCGGAATATAACACTTACTAGCCATAAAATCCCTCTTTGGCTTAAAGGGGTTTACAAGGGAACCCGACCTTTAAAACAAAAAAGGACTAAGGGTCCGAGTTCAATCATGACACCCTAAACCCTAAACCCTAAACCCTAAACCCTAAACCCTAAACCCTAAACCCTAAACCCTAAACCCTAAACCCTAAACCCTAAACCCTAAACCCTCAACCCTCAACCCTAAACCCTAAACCCTAACCCAAGGGGTATGTTGGGCTCTTTGGGTCTGCAGCGCCTTTGACCTGAAGGTTCTTGGGAAGGACGACGGTCAGTTCGATGGTGTCCTTAGGATCGTTTAGGGTTTAGGGTTTAGGGTTTAGGGTTTAGGGTTTAGGGTTTCTATTGCACACATAAGATCCGACTGCCGGGGCCTCCTGCTTGCGCGAAAACTGAACGCATGCACGTCTCTTGCTCGCTAGTTGTCCATGTCAACAACACCTCCTAGGAATCCTTCAGTGCAAAACCCAACCAGCGGCGACAGTATTCGAAGCCTGCATTTCTTCAATCCTTTCAGAAGCGTATCATGCCTTATTATGCGTAAGGACTCCGGGTGGGAATGCTTGCTTCACGCGTCGCTGCGGCTCTCGACAAGCTGCTAGGCCACACCCGTGTCATCATCACAGTCCGATTTGTATCCCAAAAACACCTTTGTGGTCGCAGAACCTGGAGCAACACAACTCAATTTGGCGAACCCCTACCGAAGGCCTGATCGCACCACTGCGTAGTCCCCAGTCCATGTCGGCGGAACGCTGTGCGCGTTGGAGCTTGGATCTAGCAAAAGGCTGGGATTCTCAGACGCTTGAAGAAACACGTGTGTCGAGTGCAACCCTTGAGGCACCATCATGCCTCCTTCGAATGATGCAGCCGTTGTTGCGGCGCAGGTGCGCACAGTCCCGGCACTTGGTTACTCAGCCCCACGGTGTCCGTCAGGATGATGCTGCAGTAGACATGCGAACGGGTGCGTGGCGTTGCGCTGCAGTGTGCTGCTTTCTTTCATGTAGCTCGGACAGGCCCCTTGTGGAAGAGATGTACTTTAAGGAACCACTTGTGGAAAACTGGAACAAGCAGCACTTTGCCAACACCAAAGAGCATAACTTTGTGGCCACCATGTTGGCTCTAGACGAACAGAGATCCGCCCCGAAGAGCAACACCTTGCAAACAAAGAACTCGTGCTCAAGAGACTCGAAACACCAGGACGGGCCATTGGGCCCTCTAACCCCTTAAAAAGGTCCTTTATAGGGTTGGCCCTATAACCCCTTAAAAATGCCCTTTATAGGGTTGGCCCTAGAGCCCCTTAAAAAGGCCCTTTATAGGGTTGGCCCTACAACCCCTTAAAAAGGCCCTTTATAGGGTTGGCCCTACAACCCCTTAAAAAGGCCCTTTATAAGGTTGGCCCTATAGCCCCCTAAAAAAGGCCCCTTTATAGGGTCCGCCCTATAACCCCCTTAAAAAGGCCCTTTGTAAGGTTGCTTCTGGGGATTCTAGGGCCTAGGAGCCCATCCTGGCAGCAGCACTTTGTTAGCAGCAACTTTGGGGCCTAGACGAACTGAGAGCGGCCCGACAGAGCAACGCGCTTGTCCGCTAGGACCCTAAACCCTAAACCCTAAACCCTAAACCCCAAACCCTAAACCCTAAACCCTAAAAAACCTAAACCCTAAAACTCTAAAGCCTAAACCGCATGGTAGACCCTAAACCTGCAACCCCAAAGCCGAAACCGGAACAGGCTGAACAGGGGCGCGGCTCAGGGTTTAGACATTCTGAGTGTAAGCTCGCAAGATAGCATGTATAGGGCCTAATTATCGGCTTCAGGGGTACGCTATGTGCAGAATCAAAGTAAGGAATGCTAGGAGGGAGCTTGCATAATCCGACTACCAACATGCACCTCCGACAACCCCTGAACCTAAACCCTGTGCCCAAAACCCTTTGGATTCTGGGTAGCCCTAAAGCAGCTGCTACGCCATGTGTCCCTCCTTTTGGGCCAGCTCCCCGAAACCCGAATCCCCAGTCTCTCTTATATTGGTCCCTCCTTCCACAACCCCTAAATTTAGGGCTTAAGGTTTAGTATTTTGAGCTTCGGGTTTAGGGTGTAGGAGGTTCAGGGTTTAGGGTTTCCGGTTCAGGGGTTTTCTTGTAGGTTCGCCATTGACACCGGAAAGAAAAGAGAACCATTTTGGTTCATGTACATTCACCGTGAGCCTTGTGGTTTTCATTTCTATTCAAGGGCCAAGTTCAAACCTCAGCCTCAAACACCTGGATGTACAATGATAATCGAAATAGAACTGAAGTAGACGACGTCGTCGTCGTCGTCGTCGTCGTGGTGGTGGTGGTGGTGGTGGTGGTGGTGGTCGTCGTCGTCGTCGTCGTCGTCGTCGTGGTGGTCGTCGTCGTGGTGGTGGTGGTCGTCGTCGTCGTGGTGGTCGTCGTCGTGGTGGTGGTCGTCGTCGTGGTGGTGGTGCTGGTGGTGCTGGTGATAACAGAAACGAACTAGCAATCGTATCAGGGCTCATAGGAATAGCAGTAGTTGTGGTGGTCGTGGTCGTCGTAGTAGCTTAGTAGGAGTCGGACTAGGAGTAGCAGTGGTAACCAGTAGAACTAAACCTAAACTTCTTCACGCCTGTACCTTCCAAATCAGAGGGAAGACACCACACAAACGAGAATCGAGACACTGTCGGTATAGGGGGTGGGTTGATCTACATAATGGGCTGGCCTCAGCTAGAAGGAATGTTACAGTAGGAGACCCCTACACAACCCCACATCTCCTCCCCCCCCCAATCCTCAGCCTTAACCGGTGGTATATAGGCTACGTGATCGGGGGGCTTTTGGTAAGCAGGTACAGGCAGTGGAGTCAGAAGTACCCTGGAATGGCCCCTAACTGTTAGCGCTGTCCTTCTTCATGACCCAGCTTCCCAACTGCCCCCCAAACCCTCCAAATGGGGTGCAGGGGTTAGGGTCGAGGGTGGAAGGGTGGAAGGGTGGAAGGGTGGAAGGGTGGAAGGGTGGAAGGGTGGAAGGGTGGAAGGGTGGAAGGGTGGAAGGGTGGAAGGGTGGAAGGGTGGAAGGGTGGAAGGGTGGAAGGGTGGAAGGGTGGAAGGGTGGAAGGGTGGAAGGGTGGAAGGGTGGAAGGAGGGTGGAAGGGTGGAAGGGTGGAAGGGTGGAAGGGTGGAAGGGTTTAGGGTTTAGGGTTTAGGGTTTAGGGTTAGGGTTTAGGGTTTAGGGTTTAGGGTTTAGGGTTTAGGGCTTAGGGTTCGAGAGCCCCAGCCGAGACACGTTGAGCCACTCTCCCCTCACCTCCACGTTCCCCACGATGCCCTCCTTCGCCAGGCCTTGTCAGCTAAGGGGCTCGGTGGAGAACTCAGGGTTCAGGGTTCTAGGGTTTAGGGTTTAGGGTTCTAGGCTTTAGGGTTTAGGGCTAGGGTTCAGGGTTCTGGGGTCTAGGGCATGGCTTCCCGGGCTAATCTCTAGCTCCTCCGAAGCTTCGGGAAAACCTCCCAGCCCTCGACACTTCGAGAGACTGGGGTTGCACCCTGAACCCAAAGCCCTAAACCCTAAACCCTAAGCCCTAAGCCCTACACCCACCAACCCCAAAATCCTCAACCCTGGAACCCAGTAACGCTGCAGCCATGAAGCCCTAAACCCTAAACCCTAAACCCTAAACCCTAAACCCTAAACCCTAAACCCTAAACCCCAAACCGCAAGCCTGCAAATTGAAGTGCAAGAGCTTGAAGAGACGAAAGCTGACAGTTTTGGGTTCTGGGTTGGGAATGAGGCTTCAGGTTTAGAGTTTAGTTAGGGTTTAGGGCTAGGGTTTAGGGTTGAGGGTTTCTGCTGGCTAGGCGATCTCCAGAGCCTTTAAGGGTCCACTGAAGGCTTGAAACCCTATTCCTGGGGATAAGCCTAAACCCTAAACCCTAAACCCTAAACCCTAAACCCTAAACCCTAAACCTTGGGCCCTGGGAATTCCTCCATGAAGCCAAAGAGCCCAATGTCCCTTCCATATAAGGAATATCCCTGAAGTCAGATGAAGGGTTCCTATATACGTAACGATATCGGGCCCTAAAACAGAAAGGCTGGAAAGCCCAAGCCCGAAACCCACAACATCCCTGAGTCCCTAAACCCCCAAACTTTCCGCAAACCCCTAAGCCCTAAACCCTAAACCCACAAAGCTGAACCCCTAAACCCTGAACCCCTTAACCCGAAACCCTAAAGCCTCTACCCTAAACCCTAAAGCCTGAACCCCTAAACCCCTAATCCCTAAACTCTAAACCCGATACCCTAAACCCGAAACCCTAAACCCGAAACCCTAAACCCCGAAGGGCCTTGGCTCTGGCTGGCTGACACAAGCTTCGCTGGAAGAGCGCGCGGTGGCTCGATGAGGTCCAAGTACCTCCACTCGTTCGCCGTGTTTAGGGTTTAGGGTTTAGGGTTGAGGGTTTAGGGTTTAGGGTTCAGGGTTCAGGGTTTAGGGTTTAGGGTTTAAGGTATAGGGTACCCTAAGACTAACCCCTAGGCCCTACACCCTACACCCTGAAACCCTAAACCCTAAGCCTTGAAGACAACCAGCACATCTCTGCGTAAAAACGCTCAGGCTTTGGGGCTTCTTGGGGCTTGGGGCTTAGGCGGTCCTTGGCGCCCTCAGTCAGCCCATCAGTCCCTCAAAGTCCCTAAAAATACTGTTGCCTAAACTCCCTAAAGCCCAAACTCTCTAAACTCCCTAAACTCCGTAAACCCTGAACTCCTTAAACTCTAATACCCGAGACCCGAATCTTGCTCCCTAAACTCCCTGAACCCTGATACCTGCAAAAGCGGTGAGAAAGAAAGACGCGTCCTCTACTATTTTCTTAAGAACCACCCCAAAAAAAGGTTCGTCCTTATAAAGGGTAAAAATTCTTAAGAACCACCCCAAAAAACATTCTTCCTTATTGGGAAATATAGGGATTAAGACTTCAGAGCTCGGGTCGCAGAGATCGGTCCCAAGCCGAAATTGTGGCTCATGGGCTTATGGGCTTAGGGTGCCCTCGAACCCTGGGTTTAGGGTTTAGGGTTTAGGGTTTAGGGTTTCGGGATTAGGGGTTTAGGGGTTTAGGGGTTTAGGGGTTTAGGGGTTTAGGGGTTTAGGGGTTTAGGTGAACCCTGGACCCAAAGCTTGGAACCACCCCCCCCCCCCCCCCATCCCGCGGGCTTTTTGAAGTTGGCGATGTCATCCCGGTTCTTTTCCAGATAGTTCTGCACCTCGACCTCTGCATGCTTCAAGTACCTTGGCTGCGGTGCTAAGTTTCTCCAGGGGTTCTACCTCGGACCCTTAAGGTTGTGCCCTCGGGTTTTGGGGGTCCCTTTCATTGAGGATCCCTCAGGGAATATACCCTGAACCCTAAACCCTAAACCCTAAACCCTAAACGGCACAGATTAAGGGGAACCTGTAGGGGTACAACCTTAGGGGTACCTCATCCCTTGAGTTTCAGGGCTTCGGGCTTAGGGGCTTTTATCAAGCCTGGGGCTTAGGGTTTAGGGTTTAGGGTTTAGGGTTTCGGGCTAGGCTCAAAACAACCCACACAACTGAAGGGCTTCAAATGCCTGAGCACCAAGCCTCGAAGTCAGAAACGTTCAGGGGTTTAGGGTTTGGGTCAGCAGCGCGTTGGGGTCTTTGTGCGTTTGGCTGCCATCCTCTCTGGTGTGCATGCGGTCTTCGTCTTCAAGCGACCAAGTTCCCCCTAAACCCTAAACCCTAAACCCTAAACCCTAAACCCTACACCCTACACCCTGCACCCTGCACCCGACACCCTAACACCTAAACGCTAGCCCTCCCCCCCTCCCAAACAGCAATAGCGGCCTAGAGTCACGCAATGAAATACACAAACTATACAACATATAGAGAACACTATAAAATGTATCATCCTACTTATTCCCCTCCCAAGCGCGCCTATTTGGTGAAATGCCCAGCTCGAGTAACACAGGCTGTCTGCATCATCTTGCAGTCTGCCTTCCAGAGCCCCATGCTTGCTGACCAACCAAGGAGGCTACTGCTTCCGACATCGTCTCTCTGCCATCTCAGAACACGACTTCGTCTCGCTTGGGTTCATGAGAGTACCCCCCCCTTCCAAGTCCACACCATGAGGTGCACCGCTCGATGCGGCATGTACCCTACCTTGCCCACACACCAGCAAGCAGGGTCGACACGACGGGTCTCGAAGTAGAGAAGAGCATCTTCCATGTCCCGCGCTGCCCGTGCGTTCCGGTTCCCCAGACTCTCAGGCTTGGTACCGATGCAGTGGTTCGGATCGAAGTTGGCAACATGGGCTGGAAGCCGTGGCCTCTTCGGGTTCCACCATCTGACCCCGAAAAGCTAAACTCCTTAACCCTCGCAACCCGAACCCTGCCAACCCTAAACTTCCCTAAACCCTAAACTCTAAACTCTAAACTCTAAACCCTAAACCCTAAACCCTATACCCTAAAGCCTAAACCCTAAACCTCTCTACCATGTGACCAGCCATTGTTCGGCACGAATTGGAGAATTTGATCCATTTTGACCCCTCTGACCCCTTTGACCCCCCATTGTTCATCCATTTCGACCGCTCTGTGTCCCCTGAAGTTTTGACTCTCTAACCCTCCATGGTTCAGCACGAATAAGACATGAATAACCTTTCTACTTTCGTAGTGTTCTGGGATTCTTTGACACTGCGGGCCAAGTAAATGCTCGAACTTGAGATGCTGAACCCTAAACCCTAATCCCTAATCCCTAAACCCTAAACCCTAAAGCCTAAACCCTGCCGGGCAGCTTGTTGGTGAGGATGTGCGTGTAGATGAAGCTGAATCCTGAAACAGGCTCTTGCATTTGCATTGGTATCCCCCCGGTGTCTCCTAAACCCTAAACCCTAAACCCTAAACCCTAAACCCTAAACCCTAAACCCTAAACCCTAAACCCTAAACCCTAAACCCTAAACCTTAAAACCTAAACCCTAAACCCTAAACCCCAAGCCCGAAGACCTGAAACTTCCAGTGCCCAAAAAAAATCAAACGGTGCCAAGGCCGAAGAGCCAACCACACCCTTAGGGTTCAGGGTCTACAGGGTTTGAGGTTTAGGGTTTAGGGTTAAGGTTTAGGGTTTAGGGTTTAGGGTTTAGGGTTTGGGGTTTAGGGTTTAGGGTTTAGGGTTTAGGGTGTAGGGTTTAGGGTTTAGGGTGGTCTAGGGTTTATGGTTTAGGGTTTCGGGTGCAAGGACCTTGCTGTCTAAGTCTTAGGGCTGTAGGGAATCGGAAACCGCCGGTTGAGAAATCATGGCGGCATGTCCTAGAGACAGCTCACGAGGACGAAGCGGAACTGCTGGCGTCCGTGGAAGAAGAGCCCTAAACCCTGGCAGCCCTCAACCCTCAAACCCTCAACGCTAACCCTCAACGCTGGAAAAGCCCTGACAACCTGAACCATGAACCCCAAGCCCTGACAACCCTCAACCCTGAAAACTCAACCCTACACCCTACTCCCTGCCCGGCCTCAACCCTAGACCCTGAACCCTCAAACCCTGACACAAAAACCCTACGCAACCCGACAACGCGCAACCCTAAAAATGCGTAAGGCCTACAGCCTTAGCCCCCTAAACCCTGAAAAGAAAACGAATCTACACAGTGGCCCTGACAACGCTTCACCCCTCAAGCTTTAGCCCTAAACCCCCTCAAACAGCACAAGCCTCAAACCCGAACCTAAGACTCTAAGCCCTAAACCCCAAGCCCTAAACCCTAAACCCTAAACCCTAAACCCTAAACCCTAAACCCGAAACCACCTTAAACCTCGAACGCGGAAGCATGGAACTCGAGGTTGCCTACTATCAAGCGTGAGAGGGCTTTCGGGCTTTAAAGGCTTTTGGGCTTTAGGGGGTGAAGGGGTTTAGGGCTTGGGGTTTAGGGGTTAGGGGTTTAGGGGTTTAGGGGGTTAGGGGTTTCGGGATTTTAGGGTTTGAGGGTTTGTGGTTCGGGGTTTACGGTTTGAAGAGGCTTGGGTTTTGGGGTAACCCTAAACTGCTAAAAACTCCAAAAACTCTTGCGATAACCCTGTAAACTCCCAAAAAAGCCCCGGAACTCCTATTACCCCTCAACCCGCATAGAACTCCCCAAAAAAGCTCCTAACCCCCTAAACCCCCTAAACCCCCCTAAACCTCCTCCCTAAACCCCCTAAACCCACTAAACCCCTTAAACCCCCCCAAAGCCCTCTAAACCCACTTAGCAAAGATCTGTTGCCTTCCCGACTGGTCGAAGAGATGAGGGAGAAGGGATTCCTGGCCAGATCCGCGAGACCCGAAACCCTAAACCCTAACCCCTAACCCCTAAACCCTAAACCCTAGATTTCCGAGCTCTTCGGCTTCGGGCTTCGAGGCCTATAGGCTTTAGAGGCCTTAGTGGGCTTAGAGGCTGAGGCCTTAGAGGGTTTGGGGTAACCTTTAAAAGGTTAGGGCTTAGGGCTGCGAGCTTAGGGCTTAGGGCTTGGGGGGGAAGGGGGGTGAGGGGAAGGAAGCATTTGGGGGTTCAGGTCTGGGGTCTGGGGCCTCTAGGCTTGAGGTCTCGTCCTGGACCCAAACCCTTGACCCAAATAGGGTTTAGGGTTTAGGGTCCAGGGTACAGATGTTGAATAGTATGGTGGTGGGGCCAAAAGACCTTCTACAGACGAAATTGGGTAAGGGCGCTTAATCCCCGCAACCCCAAACCCTAAGCCTTAGAATCTTAGAAGAGTGCCCGCAACTATGGCTACTAGACCCAAGAGCAACATAGGAATAAGCAAGTAAGGGCCTAACGGGCCTTAATAATTAGAATAGGGTTTTGGAGTTTGACATAGTATACTTATACAGGGACCCTATAAGGGAAGATGATTAGTACTTATTTCCGACCCCTAGATTACTCTGGGTAGGCCATCAACATGAGGTGCTGAACTGGAGGATGGCGAGGCCCAGGCGCTGGGATTCAAGGCTGTAGTTTAGGGTTTAGGGTTTAGGGTTTAGGGTTTAGGGTTTAAAAGTTTAGGGTAATCCCTCAAACCCTAAACCCTAAAACCCTCAAACCCTCAAACCCTAAAACCCTCAAAAACCTTAAACCTTAAGCCCTAACCCTAAACTCCTACATCCTGCTTAGCCCAACAATCCGAGTGCGAAGCGTTAATCAGAGCTCAGGCGGCTTGTTGTGGCAGCGCGAGGTGTCGAATCCGGGCGGCAGCTCCTCAGCCAGCGGTGTAGGTGTGCCACTTTAGGGTTCTCAGGGTTTAGGGTTTAGGGTTTAGGTTTAGGGTTTAGGGTTTAGGGTTTAGGGTTTAGGGTTTAGGGTTTAGGGTTTAGGGTTTAGGGTTTAGGGTTATGGGTTATGGGTTTAGGGTTTAGGGTTTAGGGTTTAGGGTTTAGGGTGGAGGGCTTTAGGGGTTGAGGGCTTTAGGGGTTTAGGATCTCAGGGATTAAGGGGTTTGTTGAGCGTTCTAAAACTTCCAGGACTTTAGGGTTTAGGGTATCTGGCATCCCTGCAGCCATTCACGATGGCCTGTTAGTGGAAACTGCTGCTTCTGCTATGTATGGGGTAGCAACCTAACACCCTAAACCCTGCACCCTAAACCCGGGTGTAGGGCCTATAGTGTCCTCCTTGGACCCTGCATTCTCTCTGCGGCACACGCGGCCCAGACCAGGTCTTTAGCGCCCGCCGCGAGCGGACGCTCGGTCACCACGAGCCTGGCGCCAGTGGGTTTCGGAGGTTTGGGTAGCTAGGGCTGGAGAGCCCCAAACCCTAAACCCTAAACCCTAAACCCCAAACCCTAAACCTGGGTTTGGGACGAAGAGCTCTGGTCTCATCGCACTTTCTATGGTTGATGTGGGTGTGTTCAGGAGGCTGCGCTGGTTGGAGGCCTCTTGAGGCCTGGTTTAGGGTTTAGGGTTTAGGGTTTAGGGTTTAGGGTTTAGGGTTTAGGGTTTAGGGTTTAGGGTTTAGGGTTTAGGGTTTAGGGTTTAGGGTTTAGGGAGGGTTTAGGGTTTAGGGTTCAGGGTTCAGGGTTCAGGGTTCAGGGTTCAGGGTTTAGGGTTTAGGGTTGGCTCGGGTGGTCTTAAGGCGGGCATGTCGTCACAAGTTCAGCTGACCCATGCTACACCACAAGCCCTGAAGCCCAAAACCGAAAACCCCTAAAACCCGGCAACCTCTAACAGACTAGACTCTGTTCACCCCCCAAAACCCCTAAACTCGAGACCAAAAACTCCTACCCCCCCACCCCCCACCCCCCCCCCCCACCCCAAAGCAACCCATAAACCCCAAAACCCAAAAGGCCCTTTAAAGCCCTGAACCCTTGAACTCCTGAAACCCCAAAAAAACCTAAAACGCCCAACCCCTAAAAGCCTAAACTTATAAGCCCCCCTCAACCCCACTCGACCATCTCTGACCATGGGCGACTCTGCCGCGAACGTTGGCGACGGGCACCAAGGGTTTAGGGTTTAGGGTTTAGGGTTTAGGGTTAGGGTTTAGGGTTTAGGGTTTAGGGTTTAGGGTTTAGGGTTTAGGGTTTAGGGTTTAGGGTTTAGGGTTTAGGGTTAGGTTTAGGGTTTAGGGTTTAGGGTTTAGGGTTTAGGGTTTAGGGTTTAGGGTTTAGGGTTTAGGGTTTAGGGTTTAGGGTTTAGGGTTTAGGGTTTAGGACTTAGGATTTAGGGTTTAGGGTTTAGGGTTTAGGGTTTAGGGTTTAGGGTTTAGGGTTTACCTCCCTTTCCCGGACACCTAGCAGCCTTCACGGCCTCCTTCTGTAACGTGCCCAACAATGACCGTATAGCGCAAAGCCATCAGGCCATGAATGGTGTCCCGCAGCATCGACGAAGGCATCCATACATCCTCCACCCTTGGGTCGAAATCCGTCTTCCTCTTTTTCGCAGCACGGCCTTGATTTCCTGCCGCCACAACAGCAGCCCTAAACCCTAAACCCTAAACCCTAAACCTTATAAACCCTAAACCCTAAACCCTAAACCCTGAACCCTGAACCCTGAACCCTGAACCCTGATTAAACCCTAAATTCTACAAGCACTGTGCTGGGCGCTCCGATCATCTTGTGGCATGCGCCCGCGCCCGGTGCGCGGGTACACGGTCACCCGAAACCAGGCCTACACCCAAACTTACTGGGTCTTAGGGTTTTGGGGTTTAGGGTTTAGGGTTTAGGCTTAGTAGGTAAGCCCTATATTATCCCTTAAAGGGTCACACAAGGGGGTACAAGGTTAAGAGCCAGTAGGCAAAAGACCCAAAACCCTTAACCCTTAACCTTAAACCTTGAAGCCCTAAACCCTAAACCCTAAACCCTAAACCCTAAACCCTAAACCCTAAACCCTAAACCCTAAACCCTAAACCCTAAACCCTAAACCCCAAACCCTAAACCCCGAAACGCAGGCCCAGGGGGGACGTTGCAATCACCACCAGGGCGACCCGGAAGTCCATTCCGAAAAGGCCTTAGAGGGCTTGGGGTTTAGGGTTTAGGGTTTAGGGTTTAGGGTTTAGGGTTTAGGGTTTAGGGTTTAGGGTTTAGGGTTTAGGGTTTAGGGTTTGGTGGTTTATGGCTTAGGGCTTAGGGTCTGAGGCTTGGGGTTTAGGGTGGGGGGGTTTAGGGTGGGGGGGGGGGGGGGGTGGGAGGGGGGGGGGGGGGGGTAATAGGGTTTGGAGGTTTAGGGTTTTAGGGTTTAGGGTTTAGGGTTTGGGCCTTTGAGGGTTTGGGGTTTAAGGGTTTTAGGGTTTCTGGGGTTTTAGGGCTTAAGCCGGAACCTAACTAATTACTCATCCATAGGGTTTGGGGTTTAGGGTTACCACGGCCTGAACTCAATGGGTTTGGACGAACAGGGGCGTAGTTTTGTTCTTTACGTTTTGCAGTTTTGTGTCCTGCTTGTTTTGGTGTCTTATTGTCCGTTGCTGTTTTGAGGGCATTCGACGGAATAGTGAGCCTACGCGCGTGCGCACACGCCTGCATCAATGATCCGGCAATGGCGACGTCTGTTTGAGGCTTGAACCCTAAACCCTAAACCCTAAAGCCTAAACCCTAAACCCTAAACCCTCAACCCTAAACCTAAACCGTGGCTTTTCCGAACACCCTCCCAGCCCTCGGCCTTGTGCTGAAAGGGATCCTCTTGGCCTCCTTTTGGGGTGGTTCAGGGTTTAGGGTTTATGGTTCAGGGTTTAAGGTGTAGGGGTTTCGGGGTTTAAGGCTTAGCCTTTGCACAGTTCGATCCGCTAAACTAAACCCTAAACCCTAAACCCTAAACCCTGAACCCTGAACCCTAAACCCTAAACCCTAAACCCGCGAAGATCCCCCTGGGCGTTCGTGCCGAAGCCGATGGAGAGCATGAGGTACAGCTCCGCGGTCCAACCTGAGATTCAAGGGATTTTAGGGTTTAGGGTTTAGGGTTTGGGGCTTGAGTCAACAGATCGTCCAAGTCGAGTCCTAAAACCTGAAGCCATATCTGGGTTGTTCTCTCGCTTTTTGGGGGCCTTTATGCTAAGGCTGCCGTAGTATACCCCCTTTACAGGGAGCCGCATTTACAGAACTACCCCACCTCTCATGGGATTCTATCTTGGGTCCTTAAGGTGCCCTTGGGTTTAAAGATCCCTAAGGTAGTAGATAAGGGTCATATTCAGAGTAGATTAAGGAAACCCTCAGGGGTACAGGCTTAAGGCTTAGGTGTACGAGTCGTAATCCCAGGAAGTAGGGATAGTATGGGTGGGTTATGGGGATTATGAGAGGGTTTCTAGGGGATACTAAGTAGACGTTCTAAGTCAAAAGAGCGCCCGAGTATTAAGTGTGATTTGGAGGGACCCCTAGAATGGACGCTTAACCCTGTTCCCCTGTAGAACCCCTTATATATACCTTATGTAGTCCCTATCCCGAAGTAGCCCCTAAACAACCTCTAAACAACCTAACGGTCCCCCGTTTAGTCCCTTGCTTTGGGGGGTTCGGGGTGTTTCAGGTGGTTTGAGAACTTCGGCTTGACGGGTCTAGGGGTTTTGTGCATAAGGCTTTAGGGTGGCTTTTTGTTGGCAAACAAAAAACAAAAACAAATAAATAAATATGACAAATGAGATATGACTGGATAAACAAATAGAATGTTATAGAATTGTGTATATATATATATATGTATATTGCTGATCATAATCAAAATGATAACAATCATCCTTTTTTGCCTTCACGGGGCCCTGAACAGGAAGAATGTTTCAAGTTTCTTTTTTTTTTGGGGGTGGGGGGGGGGGTTAGGGTTTAGGGTTTAGGGTTCAGGGTTCAGGGTTTAGGGTTTAGGGTTTAGGGGTTCTTAAGCAGTTCGTAGCTAGCTCACTGCCCGGAAGCCGAAGCATTTCGTGGCAGGCTGGTAGTGGATGTCGCCCAGGAGCCTTGGCAGAAGGATTTGGGGGGTTTAGGGTTTAGGGCTTAGGGCTTAGGGCTTAGGGCTTAGGGCTTAGGGTTTAGGGTTTAGGGTTTAGGGTTTAGGGTTTAGGGTGTAGGGTTTAGGGTTTAGGGCAGAAACTGTAGGGGCTGCATGGCCACGAGTTTACAGAGCTCACAGGTTCATATTGCTGGGGCTTCTGAGGCTCGTTGGGTTGATGCGGGTGCTGAGGGCTGTTGTTGGAAGGGCTTTGTCGGGTTTATCGGGTTTGTCGGGCTTCCGAGGCCTAAACCCTAAACCCTGAACCCTAACCCTGAACCCTGAACCCTGAACCCTAAACCCGAAACCCGAAACCCTAAACCCTAAGCAAGAACCTAAGGCGACAAAAGCACTTTCTTGCCTCTTGGTAAAACCAGCAACCAAAAGCAAGGGGACACAAGGAACCCCTAAAGCCCCTTCGGCCATGCTGCCCTATGCCCAGAAGGCCGGGAAAGACGCCTGCCAGGGGTGTCGATTCAGGATCGTACAACCCTATGCCGCCTATACCTACTAATCCTAACCCAGAAGCCCTAAACTTACTGAAGCCTTAGACCTTAACTCCCCCACCTGTTTAAGGGGAGGGGACGAACGACTTAGGATCTGTGGGCACAGGGAATTGCTGTATGAGTGTCAGTTCTGTTGGGGGGGGGGGGTTCAGGTTGCTGTGCGCGGCAATTCCCAAGCAAACAAGCAACAGGACGGGCCGCTCCCTAAACAAAGCTGCAAGCTTCTTGGAGCAGAAATGCTCTTACCAGCGATGGGGGAGCCGTGGCTTTGTGGACAACTTCAAGGTTTAGAGTTTAGGGTTTAGGGTTTGGGCAACCACAAGGTTTGGCAGATTGGCCGCAGTGCGGACATGAAAGATAGGATGATTGGCGCGTGTGGCGCTTAGGTCCCGGCTAACTTGCACCGTCTGCCAATCTTGTGCTGCTCTGATTGCGTCAATTTGTCTTGATCATAGAAGAAAAACTTTGAGCTCCAGGGCTGCATCGCAAGTGCTAGCCCGCATGGCTCACTTTGAATTATGGCCCTCATAGCAGCCACATGCGCGCATTAGCAGTGGCGCTTTTGTGCTCCGCGTGAGAGCACCCGGGTCAGGCGAGCCAGCACCTTCCTCCCCCCTCTGAGACTTTCCTTTCCTGGTCGCTGGAGGAGAACCAGGGCACGGCTGTCAAGACAAAGAAGTAAGTAAGGCTGCCGGTGCCACACTGGTGCTGATGTAATCAGAAACGGCATAAGCCTGGCTCGGGCTTGCTTTAGCATCCCCCAGGCTGCTAAAAGGTAGGAGCAGCAGTGCTGTAGGTACCAGATGTCCCAGGTGTCTTGGATCACAAATGACACCGAAAACCAAACGTGTCCTCCGTATGGGCACAGTTTCGCGTCCTGCTCCAAGCAGTACCCTGATGAGGGATCGCTCTTGCATGAGAAATGCTGCAGGATTGCCCCTGCGGCCCCTCCTGGCCTTTGCGAGGGTAACGTATCAACCTTATGAGAACGGCCATAGCAGCATTTGATTCCATTCTGTGACAAGTATGTGCCCCAATGCTGACCAATTTGGCATCAAGACACATACAAAATCGCAATTTTTCAAACACCACCTGGGGCTATGGCTAAGGCCTTAGGATTCCGGGCTTTGGGCTTCATCAAGTCCAATAGTCCTTCATCCAAAAGGGCTGACCCTGACCTCAAGCCCTAAACCCTAAACCCTAAACCCTGAACCCTAAACCCTAGACCCTAAACCCTAAACCCCTGAATCCCCGAAACTAAGTCCTAGAGGAACCTGGGGATAAGAAAGCGTACCCTCCACCCGAAAGCTACTTAACCTCAACCGTCCCTTTGGACAGGTAATTTGGGGTACTTTGCCGCAGGATGCATACCATAAACCAGAGTCCGCAAACCCTAAACCCTAACCCCTAGCCCTAAACCCTAAACCCTAAACCCTACACCCTAAACCCTAGCCCTAAACCCTAAAAAGAATGGGTTTATGCAGACCCCAGGTTGGTTACATGGAAGTATACTCGCCGAGGAACCAAGGCAGATGCTGTGCGTGATCTTTTGGGGAGGGGCACTGCCGTAAGTCTTGCCGCTAAACCCTAAACCCTAAACCCCAAACCCTAAACCCTAAACCCCCAACCCCAAACCCTAAATCGCATGTGGGGCCCACGCACAGGAAAGCCAGGCGAAGAGCTTAAAAGCCATAGGGTTTGGGATTCAGTGTTTAGGGTTTCCCAAAACCCAAGCCCTAAACCCCAGCCCGAAACCCTAAACCCTAGCCCTAAACCCTAGCCCTAAACCCTAAACCCTCTTTCCTCCAGACAGCGCGAAGAGATCCAAGTCAAACTGTGCGCACAGGAAGCCGCCGACCCGCTGGGGCCGGATCCTCGGCGTGCCCCGACAAGTTTGGGGGGTTTAGGGTTTAGGGCTTAGGGCTTAGGGCTTAGGGCTTAGGGCTTAGGGCTTAGGGTTTAGGGTTTAGGGTTTAGGGTTTAGGGTTTAGGGTTTAGGGCTTAGCAGCCGTCATCTAGGTCCTCTCTGCTACATCCGCGTGGAAGAATCGGCTTCGCGTGGACTGCAGCTGCTCCCCACACCAAGGAGCCGAACAACAGAATCAGAAGGAGGGCTACTTGCAGAAACCCTAAACCCTAAACCCTAAACCCTAAACCCTAAACCCCAAACCCAGTTTCATGGTACTTATTCACCCAGCTATAGCTGCGCGAAGAGCCCGATGATAACCATGTTAGGGCACTTAAGGGGCTTCTACAAGTGGGTTCTAATTTCAGTACATTTGGGGTATATCCCTAAACCCTAAACCCTAAACCCTAAACCCTAAACCCTAAACCCTAAACCCTAAACCCTGTTTAGAACTGGGTTGTAAGTACCATGAACCTCCAAGTATGTCTTACGGTGAAGAGGCCATCCTCTGGACCAGAAACTGTAATGTCCCAGCTTACGGTTTAGGGCTTCGGGCTTGGGGCTTAGGGTTTAGGGTTTAGGGCTTAGGGCTTAGGGGCGTTTAGGGCTTAGGGATTCTAGGGACTTTAGACACTCGCACTAGGCGTGTCAACGCGCGCAAAGTATTCCGCAATTTCACCTTCCGAAACCCAATGGTTCCTTGTTAGGTTGGCACTGTCAACTTCTGAGCACGTTTCAGAAATAAGATCCTCTTAAACCCAGGCAAGGAAACATCACATGGTAAGTTCTGAAGTCAATTCTCTAAATCATAATCCCTTTTTTGGTACCCTAAATAGGAGGCGCCGCCTTATAATCATGAACCCGAAAGGGAGGGCGACAATATTTGACAGAAGGGACCATCTATTCCCCCCAAGAATTCCCCACCAAGATATAAACTTGCGTTGCTGCTTGGGGGAGCAGGGAACTTGCAAAGTAGGTACAAGGAGCACGCTTGAACAAGACCCGAAGAGGGCCCACATTGGGGTTTAGCAAATTTTGAAGAATACGGTGTTGTGGATTCAGATATAGATAGTGGTTGTTTAAAACAGTTTTAAGAAAGATGAAGCAAAACTACAGGTAGCAAATTTAGTAAATGAATATTTGTTCACAAGTATGTTATGTTGCTAATGATTCTTACAGGCCCAAGCCCTCATAACGACCTACTAAGATACTGGAGTCTCCCACCACATCCTCTGGGGCAAGCACTGCTCCTGCGGAAATAGCACCTCAGGGGCATCAGCGGAAGCCCTAAACCAGGTTTTAGGATTTGGGGTGGAGCTGAGGCGTAAAGAGGTGAGGATTCAAGGCTCGAGTTTACAATAAGGACCCAGATAAGGTACCCCCTAATTTTTTGTAACCCCGATTTAGGAACTTCGTCCCACACTCGGAGACCAAGATACTTTGCGGCTGCATCCCAACCCAGGCCCTCTTACGGTTTCGGGTTTGGTGTTTGGATTTAGGGCTTTAGGGGTGCATTCCCGAAAAGTCAACAGCCAGTGTTGGGGGTGTACTCCTTAGCAGAAGTAATCCAATCGTGTACCCTCTGAAACGAAAAACCCTAAACCCTAAACCCTAAACCCTGAACCCTGAACCCCTGAACCCCTGAACCCTAAACCCTCTGCGCGAGGAGCGCGTCGAGGGCCGCGACGTCGTAGTACTCCCGGTATGAGGGGATGCTGTTCACGGAGCGCGGCTCAGAGTCCTGCCGCCGCTGGTACCTGCTGCTGCCGTAGTCCAGCGTGAGCTCAGGGAACTGGCTCTCCATGCATGTGCTCGTGGATCAGTTGTTCGACGTTCCACGCCGAGCCGTGCCACAGCGACACGAACAGTAATTCGGCGCCCTTCAGCTTCGTCAGGCGCCGGTACAGTCCAACGCCTTGAGGCGGGAGATCTCCCGTACGTCGCGGGCGCCAATCCAGTAAGGCCGCGGTCTGTCCACGGCGACGAAACCCCTGAACCCTAAAAGGTCCAGCATCCCTCACCCGCACCCCCCCCCCCTCAAACCCGCCTGGCTATTCGGGGATATGTTACGGGCTCACCCCTCCCGCTGCGAAACAAAATTGCTGACCTTCTACTTTTGGTAGTCTTCCTCCACAAGGATCCCACAACCTCCCCCAAAGCGGGACCCCAAGTTCTTCGAGCCCTGTCAGGAGGTATTTGGGGTTAATTGGGGGTAGGAGGGGTGCAGGGGGGGGGGGGTAGGAGGTGTGGGGGGGGGGGGGGGGGGGCATTGAAGAGGCCCGAAGCCCTACCGGCCCGAACCGCCAGCGTTCTGCTGATCGTCGGGGAATAGGATTCAGAATAAAGCCCAAACCTTGGGATGTCTCCCCTTATACTGACAGTCCTTGATAGGGATTCCAATAGGGGGTACCTACACTCCCGATTTCAGGACTGTTAGTATCAGGAAGAACATCCCATCCTAAACCCTCCTTCGTTCCTGGACCCCAGCCGTGCCTTCTCTAAGTCTTTGGTGATCTTCGACGAGGTGTTCTCCTTTTTGAAGGCTTCCTCGCGAAGATCAGGCTAGGGTGAAGTGCTCTCTGGGTTCCTTGGAGCACGTATGTCCCGCAATTGTGTAAGTCTACTGAAAACCTTGGAGGACTTTGGGGTGTATACTTATAACCCCACTTATAAGTCTACTGACAACCTGCTTGGAGGACTCCAGGGGCTTAATTTCTACAGCCATAATATGGGCTATAAGTACCCTAAACTCTAAACCCTAAACCCTCACTCAACCTTCAAGTACAGCTTAGACTGCACCCTCGCTCCTGTCTTTTCAGTGAGCGTCCGCCAGCAGCCGCTGTTCCTTGAGGCTTGGCTTAGGGTTTAGGGTTTTAGGTTTTAGGGTTAAGGTCTGGGTTCAGGGTTCAGGGTTCAGGGTTCAGGGTTCAGGGTTCAGGGTTCAGGGTTTAGGGTTTAGGGTTTAGGGTCTGGGGTTTAGGGTTTAGGGTTTAGGGATAAGGGTTTAGGGTTTAGGGTTTAGGGCTGATGCGGGGTGTGCTTTTGGGTCGCCTTCTCTTCAGGAAGGTGACTCAAAGCCACCAGTCTGCAACCCCCTAAACCCTAAACCCTGAACCCCTAAGCCCTAAACCTGCTACGCAAGACTTGGGGGTTGTCTTTACGTCGACCCTTCGATGCACAGCAAGCAAGATGAATGAGCGGTTGCAGGGCAATTTGAGCAAGCTTGATCGACTGAGATTAATGCCGTGGGCTGCCAGCAGAAAGAGTCAGGTTCTAACGCGAGTTGTAGTGCCTTCTGTCTTGTATGGATCTACCTTCGCTTCTACCTCGAAGTCTTTTGTTTCCAATCTCAGGGGAAAGTTCAATGTGGCGATCTGGGGAAAGCAGTCTCAGAGAAGCCACCATCTGGCGCCTCTGTTCGGAACAGCCACAGAGTATGAACCTTTCTTCATCATTTTCTGGAGTCGAGTGAGGACATTGCGTAGGGCAGTTGCCAGAGATCAAGACAACACATTGCGCAGATGGAATCGGGCTATTAACAACCCGAAGGCTTCTGGACCGCTAAAGTATCTCTTTGAATTTTTGGGACAGGTTCGTTGGCAGCCGCTTGCAGATTTTCAGGTACAGACAGCCAAAGATGAACTTTCGTTGGCTTTTGAGGACAGGGCTAAAATCGATGAAAGATTGCACCAGGAGTGGCTGCAGGTCATTGCGCAGTCTCAATCTGAAAAGGATGGGCTACATATGATAGGTGCTGTTGATTGGCCCCTTACCAAAAGATTGCGCAAAGAATCCAAGCAGGCCCCACAGGTCCTTGGAAGCTTCACGTCTGGCGCGGCTATTTTTTGTGAGCGCAAAAAGCATTTCTTGAATGAGCAAGAACAAAGATGCAGGCACTGTGGAGGATGGGACTCTCAACGACATAGACTTTTTGAGTGCAACCACCTCGTCAGCTGTCGCAATGGTCTTCCAATCGCAGAGATGAGCCAAGGCCCTGTTCTGCAAAATGAGCGAGGATTGTTCAAGTTGCCTTTAGCCATACAGGAGTGGTACGATCATGTTGCGCAAATCCCGTGGCCAGCTTTTGCAACCATGTTCCGTGAAACAGTGCATCTTTTCACTGATGGTTCAACAAATGGTTTGGACGTGCTGCCTAAGAGTGCATGGGCAGTCACTTGGGCCAAACAAGGTTCGTTTGAGTTCGTTGAAGTTGACCGTGGATTGGTGCCTGAAGAGCAGACGAATTATCGCGCAGAAGCGTTTGCAGTTCTGGCAGCCATTCAGCGTGCAACACATGCGTACCTTTACATCGATAACCTTTCAGTGGTTCAAGGTTTGCATCGACTCCAGTCTGAAGGTTGGAATGAGGTTTGGTGGTCAAATCAGGCAGAAGCGGCTGTTTGGAGACGCATTTGGAACTGCTGGCGAACAAAGTCTCCAGCGACCTGGGTGATAAAACATGTGCATTCCCACAAAGAGCTGACGACAGCGTCGCATGATTTGGAGGCGTGGTGCTTTTTCCACAACGACGCTGTCGATAGGAGGGCAAAACTGTCGAATGCTGACAGGCCTGAATTGCAAGTCAAGTTATATAAACGGGCAGTGCAGGAGTATCGGCGTTTGCAGCACACATCAGCCAACATTTTCCAGCTGCAAAAGAATGTCCTGGAGGGTGCTGGAACGAACCAGAACGATAACCAGGCCCTGGAGCTAGCTGCAACACGAGAGCCGTTGGATGAGCAGGGTTCTCAGGCAACCTTTGTCGTGCAAACAAGCCATGTTGACTTCGGAGCGTCACTGATGTGCCCGCGGTTTTTGCATGTTTTGGCTGGGTTCCTAAATGGAGAGTGGACTGAATGTCCTGCTGGCATTAGTATTTGCGAGCTCTATATGGCTTTTGTTGAAGATTGTGAAAGGCTGGTTCCAATCAATGTTGGAGCATGGAAACAGGACCAGTTGCCCTTGAAATGGCGCTCCACGGCACCGAGCGCGTGGCTACATGAAACTGATTATGCTGAGTTGGCTTTTGCCAGACAGGTGCTCTCAAAACAAATCACAACGTTCCTTCATGCTCTCAAGACAGTTGTGAGTTGCTGCAAGATACCAGTTACTTTTCTGAGATGCAAATCTCTCTCTCATGTAGGCCATGCACAGCATGTTCCATCACTGTCTGCAATGCCTTCTCGCTGTTTCGTACAGTCCAGGCAGCGTTTGAGTAAACAACTTCATGGTTTGTCACTTGGCAGTTTCCTGAGGAAACGCTTTGACCCACATGTAACGCCTGCGCCGTGTGCCATACAGCAGGCACCGCTCCAGGCAATTTGGAATGCTTATTACAGGAAAGGCAGGCACTGACACCTGCGCTGGATATTCCATCGCTCTTTCTTTCAATCTCATTAATTCAATTCGCTATTTTCTTCGTCCGAATCTTTCGTCAAAAGTGTCCGCAGACTGCTTGCATAAACCCCTAAACCCCTAAACCCGTAAACCCCTGAACCCTAAACCCCTGAACCCCAAACCCTGCACAGGAGTCTGCTGAGCACGCCTTCCCCCCTTTTTTTCGGGTTTGGGGGTGAGCCCCTTCCTCCCGCCCCCCCCCCCCCCCCCCCCCCCCCCCCCCCCCCCTTCAGGAAAAAAACACAGTTTGCTAGGCGGCCCCCCCTGACCAAAAAAACAAACCTGCTCCTATGTCTGCTCCTCTTAAGCCCAGTAAGGATAGAATCACATCCTGGGAGTCAACCCTTAAACAGTAAACCCTAAACTCTAAACCCTAAACCAACCTAGGAGCAAACAAGGAACCCTTTTTGATTTAGCTATAATAAGCTATAAACAGAATAAAGGTGCTACTGGGTCCAAGATCCCTAAACCTAGACCTTACGAGGATCAATCCTGTATTAAAGGTTCTTTTGTCAGCCCTACGACGAAGGGCTTAGGGTTTTATAGGGCTTGGAAGTTTAGGGTTTAGGGTGCACAGGGCTTAAACCCTAAACCCTGAACCGTAAACCCTGTTTAGGGTGTAAAAGGTGTATAGTGCTTAAGGTTTAGGGTTTACTGGGCTTCGACCCAGCACTCTTTCTTACTTCAAGGGCAAAAGCGGTTAAACTTGTTGATTCCTACTAAATAAGAAAACCCGAACAGTTCAGAGTTCAACCATTGGGTTTCGGGGCTTAGGGGCTTCGGGGCCTAGGGGCTTAGGGGAGTAGGCACCCTAAACCCTAAACCCCAAACCCTAAACCCTAAACCCTGAACCCTGAACCCTAAACCCTAAACCCTAAACTCTGTGCAGCTGAATGGACTGGTCGATTGGTTCTGCGGCTTCTGCTCCCACGGGAACTCGCGGGCCACCTTCTCCTTGGCGGCCTCCTTCAGCTCCTGGTGGAGGGTTTAGGGTTTAGGGTTTAGGGTTTAGGGTTTAGGGTTTAGGGTTTAGGGTTTAGGGTTTAGGGTTTAGGGTTTAGGGTTTAGGGTTTAGGGTTTAGGGTTTAGGGTTTAGGGTTTAGGGTTAGGGTTTAGGAACGGTTTAGGGTTTAGGGTTTAGGGCTACTAGGACCCGGAAAACCTTCAGCTCCTTCTGTGGGGCCATGGAGGTGTTCAGGGTTTAGGGTTCAGGGTTCAGGGTCTAGGGTTCGTAGAGTGAGCATGCAGGGTGCAGGTGGCAGGGCTTAGCCGGGTGGCGAGGGAGCCAATGCCCCTTAATCTTAATGTTAACCTAAGACTTATAAGCCCCCCCTCAATTAAGGAATCCCAATCCCGGAACTCAATCAGAAACCCCCCCCTCAATTAAGGAATCCTGGTCCAGGGCCCGATTTTTTTTTCTATGGTACCTTTTGGGTAGGTCAACCCCCTCAATAGGGGGTCGGGGCGGAAACAAAAAACAATTGAGACCGGGGGGGGGGGGGTGTGTTTAATTCGAGGTCAACATTAGAAATTATGCCGGGTTTTGGGCTTAGGGTTTAGGGGACTGGGCTGGGCGCGTCGGGAACCCGCCACGCCTTGTCATGAGGGGCTGCAGAAAGACTCTTCTCATATCGTGCTAAGCCCTAAACCCTAAACCCACGATCCTGCGAAACGGCAAACCTAAACCTGAACCTCAAATCCTGAAGAGACCCCAAGGGTCCACCAAGAGGTTCCTGGAATGTAGTTCTTGGTTGGTAGGAATAGAGTCCGAGGTACGAGCTTGGTTTCATGCTGATGGTTTTAACCCCAAGCCCTGAATCCAAAACCCTCAACCTTTACAAGGGCTTAGGGCTTGGGTCGTACTCCTAGGCTTGTATACTCCCAAGACAGCCCCTATATTCCCTATGTACGGGATGGTGTTAAAAAGGGTCCCAAACAAGGTTAGGGGTAGAACATGGCAAAGTCGGCAAAGTCTTCAAAGTAGGGCAGTGTGGGGTGCTCGTGGGGTCACAGGAAAGTTTAGGGCTTAGGACAATCCTGAACGATGCTCAACGATGCTCAACGCTCCCATCACGGGCCCGAATCACTCCCGAACCCCCCTTCTAACCCTACTCCATAAACCCCAACAGCCCTGAAGCACCGAACCTGAAGCCCTACACGCACCCAAAGATGAAACTGAGCATGCGACTTGCCAGAGCTTTCCTCGACACTTCAAGCACGGGAGGAGGGGGGGGGGGAAGGGCAAGGGTCATCCGGGGTGGGGTTCACTAAGGACCCTGAACCCGAAGCCCTAAACCCTACACATCTCTCCTGCACACAGGGTACAAAACCCGAAGCCCTAAACCCTAATTTTGGAAGTAGGGTGTAGAGCTTCAGGGGGGCTCGGTATGTGTAGGATGTAGGGGCCGGTGCTTGAAGGAGTGGACCTCCAGGTTCTTGAAAGGTTCATGGGTACCTTTTTCACCAAGTGCAGCTGTACTTCTAGCCCACTTACAAGCCCCTCAAGTGCCAGAGTATGGTGAGAAGTACAGTTGTCAGTAAAGTGATAACTGGTTGAAAAACTCTTCCATGAACCTCCAAGTAGGGCTCATCCCGCATTTAGGATACTTAGGAGATTCAGGGTATAGGGTTTCCCCAACCCCCACCACCCCCCTGCCCGAGGCTTCGTTGGCCCAGGCGAACAAACAACACATAGGTGCAGAGTGTGGAAGTCTTAGGGTTTAGGGTTTAGGGTTTTAGGGCTTAGGTTTAAGGGGGTTTAGGGTTTATAGGGTCCTGGGGTTTAGGGTTTAGGGTTTTCATCTTCTCCAGAGACGGCAGTCAGGTCCAACCATCTCAGGGTTTAGGGCTTAGGGTTTGAAAGGGTTCAGGGTTTAGGGGCCTAAACCGCTCGCAGCCCGATAGAGTGCGGAACCCGAGAGGGAATCGACCCTGCTCTTGCGGGGCTTCCACAGGCTTTCAGGATGTAGGCTTTAGCGTTTAGGGTTTTAAAAGCGTAGGTCACTGAGATCTGGTTGAGGTTTTCAGAGTTTCAGGCTTAAGGAGGCTAAGCTCCAACAGCCAAGGACGCTACACAGCGGGAAGACACATCAGCGGCGGAACTACACATCAGGGCAACGCAATCCCCGAGTCGATGCTGGAATCTAGGTCCTAGGTTGCGAAGTAACCTAGGATTAAGAAGGTGCCCTTTTCTGCTGAAATGTGTTTATAAGGGAACCTACACCCACCCAAAAAGGGGAACAAGGGCACTGCTGAGCATCCTAAAGGCAAACCACCAGCATGGGTCAAAGTGCCGGATTTGCAGCGGACGCCGCGGCAAAACCCGAAACCCGCTGAGCCGCTCTGAGCCGGACTTCTCCCGGAGGCCTAAACCCTAAACCCTAAACCCCCTAACCCCTAACCCCAACAACCCTAAACCCTAAGCCAGGGTTTGGGGGCTTCGTTGGCGTCCAAGGAGCCATTCTTGGAGCTTCGGTCGGAGAAGTGGTGATGCTCCACCTGCAGTTGTTTAAAGCGTGTGGATCTTGCGGGCTTAGGGTTTAGGGTTTTGGGGTTTAGGGTTTGGGGTTTAGGGTTTGGGGTTAAGGGTCTAGGGTTTAGGGTTTAGGGTTTAGGGCTGGCTCGGAGGAATGCATGGCAAACCCTAAGCCCCAAAGCTTGGAACTTCATAAGTAGCGATGAATTGAGTAGATCTTGCAATACACTGAGACCCTAAGCCCTAAACCCTAAACCCTAAACCCTAAACCCCAAACCCTAAACTTGTGTCTAGGTTCCCAATTAAGTGCCCAGCTTCCTCGGACATCTGCTGCAAGGGGTTGAGGCTAGGTTGCCCAGTAACCTGGGATTAGACATCGTGCCCCGCTGTTTTGCCTACAGGGGTTTCTAAGGGAACCTGAACCCCCAAAAAGGGAATAAGGGCACCACTGCGCATCCGAGTAGGGTTTAGAGGTTAGGGAATGCAAGGATCAACCTGCTGGCGACCCGAGGGCCGGCGCGAAGATGTCTGCGCGCACCGGTGCGGTTTAGGGTTTAGGGTTTAGGGTTTAGGGTTTAGGGTTTGGGGTTTGGGGTTTGGAGTTTGGGGTTTGGGGTTTGGGGTTTGGGGTTTGGGGTTTGGGGTTTAGGATTTAGGGTTTAGGGTTTAGGGTCTACATGTCCAGGACTGAACTTGTGTTGTCCAATCGCCCATGGGTTTGATCATGTCAGGCCTTGCTAGCCTTACAAGCCATAGCACCTTCATCAGCACTTCACACGCGTTTGGAGCGGCCCGTGCGTACTTCCTGGCCACGTAGCGCGATCTCCTCACCCATACCCGCTGTTCCGCTCGCACCTTCGCCCTCCACGCCGGAAGATGGGTTGATCCCCGGCTCATGACCCTAAACCCTAAACCCTAAACCCTAAACCCTAAACCCTAAACCCTAAACCCTAAACCCTAAACCCTAAAAAGCAGAACGCCCAGCTCGGATGATCGCCACATATCTCCACCGTCACAAGTACAAAGTGGCGAAGTAGGGTTCTCAAGTATCCCTAAACCCCTGCTAAACCCCACAACCCGAAGCCCTCTAACCCTGAACCCCTCAACCCTAAACCCCTAAACCCGAACCCCTATTCATATAAAACCCAAGTGAGGTCTCCCTCGGGCAGCTTTATCGTGCTGAGGGTCTCGGGTTACGGTTCAGGATTTAGGGTTGCTGCCTACAAAATAAGCAGTAACTACTACAGCTTTACCATTCTTCAGCAAGGGGCACAATAAGCCCTAAGCCCTAAGCCCTAAGCCCTAAGCCCGAAGCCCTAGGCCCTAAGCCCTAAGCCCTAAGCCCTAAGCCCTAGGCCCTAAGCCCTAAGGTTCCCCCCTTAAATAGCCCTAATTCGGCTTAATTATCCCTGAATCGCCTTGATGATGGGGGGAACCTAGGAGGGGGTAGTAGGGGAGCCCATGATAAGCCCTAAGCCCTCAACCCTGAACACGAACCCCTCTCGAGGCCTCATGGAAGCGGTACCCAGACTGTCGCATCCGGATCGCTTCCTGCAGAGTCTAGGGTTTAGAGCTTGGGTTTAGGGTTTAGGGTTTAGGGTATAGGGTTTGGGGTTTAGGGCTTAGGGCTTAGGGCTTAGGGTTTAGTGTTTAGGGTTTAGGGTTTACGGTTGAGGGGTGAGGGGTGAGGGTTGAGGGATTAGGGTTTCGGGCTGTCCTAGAAGGGCCTAAGACAACTGAATGTCTGTGGGCTATGTAGGTTTCAAAGGGAAGGCTTTAGCCGGTAGAACCTACATGTGAAATTCCAAATAAACCCCATTTCAGGGATTAGGCCTCAACCCAGTGACGTCAAGGATTTAGGGTTTAGTGTCTCAGGGTCTAAACCCTACGACGCTCTACACCCTTACCCAACCGAAAAGCTTCCTAACCCACCATTTTGCTCAAGAAGCATCAAACCAATTGGAGATAGTAAGTCCTTTGTGTTGCCCTTATAAGGAAGAACCACTTTGATATTGTTTTTCTAATTTTTGGGGGGTTCTTAAGCAAATAGTCGTAACCCACCGAGAGCCAAATGACTTCGGGGGGATTCGGGGTGACGGCTGTGTCCTACTTGCGAAGAATAGGCACTGGGGTCGAGGGTTTAGGGGTACCAGGGCCCCACCCACTTGTTCTGTGTGGCCTTGTGGGGTTTGGTTTATCTCCACAAAACAAAGCTTCCCTCATACCCCCTCGTCCCCCCCCCCCCCCCCGCCCCCAACAAACAGGTAAATACGAGAATCTTACGATGCAACCCCCCCCCCCCGCCCCCGGGCAAAATCCCCAATTCTTTTGGGCACCCCTATGTTCGGAAACTTCGATAAAAATAACAAAACAACTGAAACTTAAACCGTAAACCATCCCCCCCCTCGTGCAGACCATGACTGTGGCTGTTGAGGGTGTTGAGGGTTAGGTTTTCGGGTTCGGGGTTTAGGGTTAGGTTTTCGGGCTGCGTAAGCGACGAAGGCTTGAAGACTCTTGACCAAAAGAAGCCTCGCGGGATTTGGTTCAGGGTTTAGGGGTTAGAGGGTTTGGGTTTACAGGGCTAGGTGTTTAGGGAGGATTTACGGCGCGAGTTGCTATTGGGAACTGGCGCTGGATGGAATCCTCTAAGTAGGCGTGTCTACCTTCCAGATCCTCCCAAGGGGGTCTGGGTCTAGGGCTCCGGGTTTATAAATTATAGTTTGGGACTTTCCGGGCTTGAAAAGGGTTTAGGGCTCATCTACAGGGGTTACTTGCAGGTTCATGGTACTTACCAACCAATTATAACTGGGCTTATAACCCTACTTATAATTGGGATAACCCTTATAAGGCCCTTTAGGGGTATTATAAGTAGGGTTATAAGTACAGTTATAACTGGTTAGTAAGTACCATGAACCTTCAAGTAGGGCCCAGGGTCTTAGGGTTTAGGGTTCGGCTGTTGCTCGGAGAGCTCCTCTCTTGAGATGGCTTCCACTTTCACCTGTGGCCGGGGGTGGCTTGCGCCCACACCCAAACCCTAAACCCGAAACCCTAAACCCGAAACCCGAAACCCTAAACCCTAAAGCCGCTAAACCCTAAACCCTAAACCCTAAACCTTAAACCACAACCCTCGACCCAGTGTGCTCGGCACTCTACGGCTCCTATACACGAACGGTTTTGAGGGTTTAGGGCTTACAGGGCTACAGGGTACAGGCACCTGGTCTCTCAATCTGGTTTAGGGTTTAGGGTTTAGGGTTCAGGGTTCAGGGTTCAGGGTTCAGGGTTTAGGGTTTAGGGTTTAAGTGAGAAGGGTTTAGGGTTTAGGGCTTAGACTCGCTCGAAGAAGTTGCATCGCGAAAGCTTGTAGGTACCACATCCGCAAACACCTTGGTTCAAAGGGTCCTTAAGGGAGGGAGGTTCATGGGGTTTAGGGTTTAGGGTTTAGGGTTTAGGGTTCAGGTTTGAGGTTTGGGGTTTGGGATTTGGGGTTTGGGGTTTATGGCTTAGTGTTCATGGGGGGCTTGTCTTCGTTGGGGGATGGGGACAGCACTCTGATAATGAGAACGCCAAACGGGACTCACATTCAGAGAACTTCCCATATCCGCATTCACCTTTGAACTAGGACTTTGTTTTTTGTTGATTTGCTTAGTTAGTTTTCTAGATATAACATACCGACATAGATAGTATTCGCGCGTACGGTTGAGGGTCCCCCGATAATGGATCCCAATTGGAGCTAGGATGCCCACGTCTTGTGTGAAAGGGGTTGATAAGGGGAATCGAAGCCCTAAAGGGAGAACAAGCAAGGCCCACCCCCAGCCCTAAACCCTAAATCCCAAAACCCCAAACCCTAAACCTCAAAACCCGAAACCCTAAACCCCAAGACCCTAAACCCCAAACCAAAAACCCTAAAACCCTCAAGCACCCGGGGGTAGGGCTTAGAGTTTAGAGTTTGGGGTTTTCAAGTTGTAGGACGTTTTCTCAGCTGTTTAAGGACTGCCTTGTCCACGGTGTTGACGCGAAGTCTAGCATATCCGCCTCAGACCACAAGAGCACACACACACACACACAAACAACTAAAAACCGACCCTCAGCTCCGAACCATGCCCCCTAAACCCTAAACCCTAAACCCTAAACCGTAAACCTATTCCCTAAACCCTAAACCCCCTGGAAATACTACTGCAAGGGCCTCTCTCAGCCCCAAGGTCCGAAATCTTGCTAGTCCGCCTAGGCCCTAAACCCTCAACCCTGAACCACAAGTCGGAGATTAGGGTTTAGGGTTTAGGGTTTAGGGTTTAGGGTTTAGGGGCTTGGTGAGGCTTGGGGCTTCGGGGTGTAGAGCTTATGGGGGTTGAGTGGCTGAAGGTTTCGGGGTTCAGGGGTCTTAAGGGCTTGAGGAGTAGCAGAGAGGGCTTGGAGGGCGCACATGGCTTCTGCAGGGCTTAGGCGCCCTAAACCCCTAAACCCTAAACCCTAAAGGTTTAGGGCCTGGGCGAGGGTGATCATGTATTTAGGGTCACTCGGCACAGGAGCCACAGGTAGGATCGGCGGCAGCTTTGTCTAGTCTCTCAGCCAGGCCATGTAGGCCAGTTTCTGCAGCGCTGTCTGGGCATGCTGCTTCATGCAGCAGCACTGCATAGCTTTCACGCTACGCACCTCATAGCGCCTGCATTTCCCGGAAAGCCGCTTTTTCGCCTTTTCGTAGTGCCCGAAGACCCATGAAAGCGCGTGATGAAGGCACTGCACAATGTGCAGCCCACTGCGCATGGACCACCCCACTCACGAGGCCGCTCTGCCAACCATGTGAGACGTCCATGGTTAAATGTGGGGTCCGGCAAGTTGCAGTCAGCGGAGGGTCTAGCTAAGCTTAGTTCTAGCCGTGAACCCTAAACCCTAAACCCTCAACCCTTCTCCCTAAACCCTAAACCTTGAAATCAAACCCTGAAACCTAAGCTTTAACCCTAAACCCGAAACCCGCCCATGTGAGCCCTGCGGTGTGCCCTTCACAGTCATCAACGCTCTAACAAGCCTTTCTCCGGAAACTAGGGTTTAGGGTTTAGGGTTCAGGACTTTAAAAACCTTAGGGCTCTGCCAACCCTAGAACCCAAAACTCCTCAAAACCCATACGCCCTGCAAACACCCTGCTTAACCCTGCTTACCCTAAACCCGAAACCCTAAATCCTAAACCCTAAACCCTAAATCCTAAACCCTAAACCCTAAACCCTAAACCCTAAACCCTAAACCCTAAACCCTAAACCCTAGAATGAGGGCCCCGCCCCCCTCGACTTCATTCCTTGGCGCGGCAGGTGTCAGGAGCCAGGATGGAAGGAGTCTTTGGTTCTGGGGCTTTGGGTGGGTTTAGGGTTTAGGGTTTAGGGTTTAGGGTTTAGGGTTTAGGGTTTAGGGTTTAGGGTTTAGGGTTGAGGGTTTAGGGTTTAGGGTTTAGGGTTTAGGGTTTAGGGTTTGGGTTTAGGGTTTAGGGTTTAGGGTTTAGGGTTTAGGGTTCACGGGTTTAGGGTGTTTGGGGTGTTTAGGGTGTTTAGGGGGGTTAGGGTGCTTAGGGGTTTAGGGTGTTTAGGGTGTTTAGGGTGTTTAGGGTGCTTGGGGTGTTTGGGGTGCTTAGAGTGTTTAGGGTGTTTAGGGGCTTTAGGGGTTTAGGGTGTTTAGGGGGTTTAGGGTGTGTAGGGTGGTTAGGGGGTTTAGGGTGTTTAGGGTGCTTAGGGTGTTTTTGGGGTTTGGGGGTTTAGGGTTTTGGCTTTTGGGTTTGGGGGGTTTAGGTTTTAGGGGGTTTAGGGGTTTAGGGCCTTTAGGGTTTTGGGACTTGGGTTTGGGGTGGACAGAACCGAAACTTCGGGTTTCGGGTTAAGGGCCAGTTTAGGGACACCGCCCAAAAACAATGCCAGCCCAGTTTTTTTAAGCCTAAGCTCTAAACCCTACACCCCAGTTGGGGTTGGGGGTTTGGAGTGGGCATGAGACTCTATTTACCTACTCAGCTCTATGTGTAAGCCTTGCTATACTAACATGCCAGAAAACCCTAAACCCCAAACTTAAGGCTTGTACCCTAAACCCTAAACCCTAAACCCCAAAACCCCTAGACCCTAAACCCTAAACCCTGAACCCTACGTCCGAAACCCTGAACCCTAAATCCTAACCCTAAGCCTTAGGTTGGAGGGTGGTGTCAACCGGGACAGGGGAAACTCCCCCCCCCCCCAACAAAAGGGTTTAGGGTTTAGGGTTTAGGGTTTAGGGTTTAGGGTTTGCGGCCCCGCGAAGCCCGAAACCGGGTTGAGGGATTACGGTTTTGAGATTGAGGGCTTCGGTCAACCTCGAAGCCCTTCACCCACTGCCCTAAACCTGAAACTTCCAGGCAAATGCAGCCTCGTCGCTGATATGTCCTTCGCGTTGCGTGGCAGATGCTTCTCTGTTCTCATCCCTAAACCTTAAACCCCGAAACCCGATACCCTAAGCGCAAAGACTCAAGTTCGGGGACGTAGGGTTGGCCATGCAGGCCTAAACCTTCTGCAGGAAGAAAGACGTTGCGGGTTCCTGTTAAGCAACTTAAAATCTCAGGATAGACACATGGTGCCTTATACCCTGTACAACCCAAGGGCCCATGCTTCAGAACCCTTTAAAAGGATTTAAGGGGCCATTTTTAGGGCCTATATAATGAGCTACCCTTAGATGAAACGAAGTTGCCATCGTAAGGTACTATGGTAACTCAGAAGCCCCCAACTCCTAAACCCTAAACCCTCAACCCTAAACCCTAAACCCTAAACCCCCAATCCTACATGGCCCTAAACCCTAAACCCGAGACCCGGCGATTCATCGCAGTTCCTTCACAAAGAGCCCCAGATTCCCTTCGAGGCCGACCCTACACTGGCCTCAGGGTTCTGGAGTTGAGGGCCGTTTAGGGTTTAGGGTTTAGGGTTTAGGGTTTAGGGTTTAGGGTTTAGGGTTTAGGGTTTAGGGTTTAGGGTTTAGGGTTTAGGGTTTAGGGTTTAGGGCTTCGGCAAACCCCGAAAACCACAAATCTTAATCCCTAACCCTGAGACCTAAACTTTCAGCCCTGTCTCCAAACACCAACAAAGGCCACGAAGTCCAAGAGCCCCTATGCCCCGCGCTGTCAGGGCCTCGGGTTTGGAGTTCAAGCTTTATAAAGCATTATAGGATTTAGGGGGTTTAGAGGGTTTAGGGCTCTCATGTCGGACGGCTTTGTGGGCTTTGGCTTTTCTTACATGGAAAGATGTGACCATCCTCAAGACCATAGCCTGCAGGGCCACCATGGCATTCTGGTCGTAGGTCGTAGCCGATTTGGTGGACGTCTCAACATGGTGCCCCAACATGGTGCGCTCTTCTCTGGTGAACAGCCCCGCGCCTCCAGCCCAGGTCAGCAGTGTATGCTTGCACGAATGAGAGCGCAACTTTTGAGCACGCCCCTTTCCTATGACTGGCTCAGCTAACTCCCTTAGCCAAGCGGTAGCCTCTGAGGAGCTCATAGCCCAAGAATTCCATGACAAGGAGGAGCACCAAAGCCATCGCGCATCAAATCTGGACCCTAAACCCTCAACCCTACACCCTAGGCCCTGAACCCCAAACCCTACTTAGAGGTTCATCCCTATTATAATTGTACTTGCACATGTTAGGGCACTTAAGGGGCGTATAAGTAGGTTATAAGTACCGTTCTAACTGTGTCCACGTAAACCCTAAACCCTAAACCCTAAACCCTAAACCCTAAACCCTAAACCCTAAACCCTAAACCCTAAACCCTAAACCCTAAACCCTAAACCCTGGCCCTGTGGCCTGGCTCCCGAGGCCCTCTCCGCGGCAGTGCAGGCGAACAGCACTGCCAAGAGCAGGCAGCCTTTGCGTTTAGGGTTTAGGGTTTAGGGTTTGGGGTTTAGGGTTTAGGGTTTAGGGTGTAGGGTTTAGGGCTTAGGGCTTAGGGCTTAGGGCTTAGGGCTTAGGGTTTAGGGTTTAGGGTTTAGGGTTTAGGGTTTAGGGTTTAGGGTTTAGGGTTTAGGGTTTAGGGTTTAGGGTTTAGGGTTTAGGGTCCCATACCCTACCACAGCTTTGTGGTGGCTGGTGAGCCTACTTCTCCGGAGTTTAGGGTGAGGGCTTAGGGCTTTCCGCTGTTTAGGGTTTAGGGTTTAGGGTTTAGGGTTTAGGGTTTAGGGTTTAGGGTTTAGGGTTTAGGGTTTAGGGTTTAGGGTTTAGGGTTTAGGGTTTAGGGTTTAGGGTTTAGGGTTTAGGGTTTAGGGTTACCAGCCTTGGGAGGTGTACAGTGCTTAGGGGTTCGGGATTTTTGTTACATCTTTTAGAGCTCGGAGTTCAGGAAAAGTCTGCAAAACCTTAGGGCTTCGGGGTTTTTGTTACATCTTTTAGAGCTCGGAGTTCAGGAAAAGTCTGCAAAACCTGCAAAACACCGTCCAGAGGCCCTCAAACCAAAGCCTGTAGCAGCTTTGAACCCGTAAACGCAGATACTTTCCGACCCTGACCCCTAAACCCCAAACCCTGAACCTTACACCCCAAACAAATCCTAAAAACAAACCCTAAACCCCAAACCCTGAACCTTAAACCCCAAACAAATCCTAAACCCAAACCCTAAACCCTTGACTGCCCAAGTTAAGCTCGGGGCAGGCCATGCATCACCAACCTCAGAGGCAATCCGCATTCGGGCTCTCTAGAGTTTAGGGTCTACTTGGAGGTTCCATGGTACTTATTCACAAATTACAACCTCTGCTTATAACCCACATATTAAGCCCCTTAAGTGCCCAAATACGGTTGTAAGTACAGTGATAAGTACAGATATAATTGGTTAGTACTAAACCCTAAACCCTAAACCCTACACCCTACACCCTACACCCTAAACCCTAAACCCTAAACCCTAAACCCTAAACCCTAAACCCTAAACCCTAAACCCTGAACCCTGAACCCTGAACCTCAAAGTAGGGTTTAGGGCTTTGGGTGCCTGAGGACGTTTTGGCCATGGAGCTTGGGGGAAGGCTTTGGGGGGCTTTGGTATAGATGGGTTTGAGGGCTTGAGGGGAAATTTGAGCGCCTAAACCCTAAACCCTAAACCCTAAACCCTAAACCCTAAACCCTAAACCCTAAACCCTAAACCCTAAACCCTAAACCCTAAACCCCTCTCGGGCGGGCAGCTGCAAGTCGCAGCGGAGCGGGGGGAGATTCGAAACGTAGTAGTACACCGATTTCGCAAAAACGTTTGAGCTGCGTGGCTGCGCATGTGCGATTTTTTACAGGAGCCTGAAGAAGGGTTTAGGGTTTAGGGTTTAGGGTTTAGGCTTTAGGGTTTAGGGTTTAGGGTTTAGGGTTCAGGGTTTAGGGTTTGGGGTTTGGGGTTTGGGGTTTGGGGTTTGGGGTTTGGGGTTTGGGGTTTAGGGTTTGGGGTTTGGGGTTTGGGGTTTGGGGTTTGCGTTTGGGGTTTGGGATTTTTTTTTTTTTTTTTTGGGGGGGGGGGGGGGTTATTGTAGTATAATTACAACGGGACCATAAGGAAACATTGTTGGCAATGATTCCGACCCATATGTTAGGGCCTTGGGGGTCTTAGGGTTCGTGGGGGGGGGGGCTTAACTCAGCGTCTAGGGGCCCAAGCCCTACAACACTCCCTCCCTTCCGGGGTGAATGAAATAGTCAAACAAAAACTAGTATGAAGGCCCCTATTTAAATATGCTGCCCCCTAAACCCTAAGCTCTAAACCCTAGACCCTAAACCCGAAACCCTAAACCTGTCTAAATAGTCAGCCCTCTAAACCCTAAACCCTAGACCCTAAACCCTAGACCCGAGACCCTAGACCCTAGACCCTAGACCCGAAAGCCTAGACCCTAAACCCAAAACCCGAAACTTCAAGGCTTCCGGGGCGTGAGGACTGATGTGGACATACCACTGGACCACCGAGGCTGCCCAGAAAGCTTACTCCCTCTAGGCCACCCTAAATCTCGAAACCCCGGAAACCCCTTGCTGTTTAGGGTTTAGGGTTTAGGGTTTAGGGTTTAGGGTAAAGGGTAAAGGGTAAAGGGTAAAGGGTAAAGGGTAAGGGGTTTAGGGTTTATGGCTTCCTTAAACCACCCTAAGCCGCAAACCCTTAGACCCTGCAACACTAAACCCTAGGCCGCGGGCCGGAAACCGTGGGTTTAGGGTTTAGGTTTTAGGCCTTAAGCTACCCTAACGCCCTACAAACCTAAAAACCATCATTGATGGGGACCGAGGGCCTCTCCAAACGCCCTTCTGAAGAACGGGTCTGGGGTTTAGGGTTGAGTTTAGGCAGCACCTCAGAAAGAAAAGTGGAAGCAATGACCCTGATTTGGGGTTCAGGGTTTTGGGTTTGGGGTTGAGGGTTTTGGGGTTTAGGGTTTAAGGTTTGGGGTTTAGGGTTTAGCCAAACCCTAAACGCCCAAACGCTCAACTCTCCAAAAGGGGACTCTCAAGCTTTCGGCCTTTTAGGTCTTTAGGGGCTTTAGGTTGTTTTTGTCCGCCATGTTTCGAGCTTGTGTGTAAGGGTCCCCCCAAAGCGGACGAACCCTCAGAACCCTGTAAAAAGAAACTACCAAACCCTAAACCCTAAACCCCAAACCCTCAACCAACCCTAAACCCTGGACCCGGACCCGCCGAACGCACTCTAGCCGTCAGGCCCCTCCTCCCTCACAGCCCCCTGCAAAGCAAAAACCGCCCGTAAGCCCTAAACTCCCTAAACTCCCTAAACTCCCCAAACTCCCCAAACTCCCCAAACCCTAAACCCCAACCCCTAAAGCCCAAAATCGTAAACCCTAAGCCCTAAACCCTGAACTCCAAACTCCAAGTGTCTGAAGCCTTAAGAGGGCGCCCAGCCCCTGTGCAGGGCGACCTGTAGAGGTGCTCCATCGACAAGCTCCCAAACCTAAAGCAGCAGAGGGTTGAGGGCTGAGGGTTGTTTAGGGGGTTTAGGGTTTAGGGTTTAGGGTTTAGGGTTAGGGTTTATTAGGGTTAGGGTTTCGGGTCTAGGGTTTAGGGTTTGGGCTTTGACAGTGGAGGCGTGTAGGGTTTACGGGTTGAGGGCTTCGGGATATTGAGGGTTTACGGTTTCAGGTTGAGGCTCAGGGTGGAGGGTTTAGAGCTGAGGGCTCAGAACGTTTAGGGTTTAGGGTTTTTTAGGGCTTAGGGTTTAGGGTTTAGGGTTTAGGGTTCAGGGTTCAGGGTTCAGGGTTTAGGGTTTAGGGTTTAGGGTTTAGGGTTTAGGGTTTAGAGTTTAGGGTTTAGGGTTTAGGGTTTAGGGTTTAGGGTTTAGGGTTTAGGGTTTAGGGTTTAGATGCTGCTATTGGGTACTTCTAGCAGACGCGTCCCCCCGCCTCGAACATCTTGCGCTCGGCAAGATGTTCGAGATGCCTAGACCATAAAAGTCCGGCAACCCTAAACCCTAAACCCTGAACCCTAAACCCTAAACCCTAAATCCTAAATCCTAATTTAAAGTCCGGCGTCTTAATTCTCAGGCCTGAGTCTCCGCGTTCCCTTAACTGCCGAGACCTAAGCCCCCAACCCTTCCCCCGCAACCCCTAAACTTTACCCAAAATGTGTGCTAGAACCCTAAACCCTAAACCCTAAACCCTAAACCCTAAACCCTAAACCCTAAACCCTAAACCCTAAACCCTAAACCCGCTAGGCTCGGGCTAGGGTTTAAAGCTTGGGTTTGGTGTTTAGGGTGAGGCTTTGGGCTCTGGGGCTCGGACGCTACACCCAAAGCCTCAAACCCTGAATCCGAATCACCAAGCTCGAAGCCTGAGCCAAATGTACCCTCAACCTTTAACCTTTCACCCTAAACCCTAAACCCTAAACCCTCAAGACCAGGATAAATACAAAAACATGTACTTGGTATCATTGTGAGTTTACAGAGTTGCTTTCCCAAGCATTTATGTAGGGTTTACTTGAACTTGGTAGCCCAGGTAACCATACTATAACAAGGGTACCCATTTTGGGGTTCGTGTCTTTTTTTTCAGGGAACCTTGAACGAAAAAAGGGAAAAGGGCACCACTGGGCTACCAAGTGGAGGTTCATTGTACTAATTAACCCAGTTCATAACCCAATTAGAGCTATGTTAGGGCACCTAAGCGGCTTTTAAGTGTATCTGTACAGTTATAACTGGAAAATAAGTACCATGAGCCTCCAAAACCCTAAACCCTAAACCCTAAACCCTAAACCCTAAACCCTAAACCCTAAACCCTAAACCCTAAACCCTAAACCCTAAACCCTAAACCCCCCATGGAAGCCTTGTCGTTTCGGAGTACAGGAAGCCGACGAAGTGGTGCAGGATCACATGGGGGAGCTCCTGGGGCGCTGAGGGCTCTTGAAGGTTTTAGGTGTTGGGAGGGAAGCTTGCTGGGGTTTAGGGTTTAGGGTTTAGGGTTTAGGGTTTAGGGTTTAGGGTTTAGGGTTTAGGGTTTAGGGTTTAGGGTTTAGGGTTTAGGGTTTAGGGTTTCGGGTTTGGGGTTTGGGGTTTGGGGTTTGGGGTTTGGGGTTTGGGGTTTAGAGTTAGGGTTTAGGCTCCCTGAACCCTAAACCCCTGAACCTAAGCCCACCCTAAAACCCTGATATAACATTTTACAACCCGAAAGCCCTAAAACCTAAAAACCCGAAACCCTGAAACCCGAAAAAAACCCAAAACCCCTAATACAACCCTAAACCCCAAAACTCTAACTCTAACCCCCCTAGAAGAGTTTAGGGTTTAGGTCAAGCCAACCTCCACAGCCCGAAAGCCAATGACCCCCAAACCCCTGAAAGGAAGCGCTCCACAGGGATCCAGCAGCATCTGGACCTTCAGTCTCGGTTTAGGGTTTAGGGCTTAGGGTTTAGGGTTTAGGGTTTAGGGTTTAGGGTTTAGGGTTTAGGGTTTAGGGTTTAGGGTTTAGGGTTTAGGGTTTAGGGTTTAGGGTTTAGGGTTTAGGGTTTATATAGGGTTTACGGTTTGGGGTTTAGGCTTTAGGGTTTGGGGTTTAGGGTTTAGGGTTTCAGGATTCTAGAAGCCCCGAAAGCCCTAACACCTAACGGGTTGGGGCCCACACCCTAAAACCTAAATCCAAAATTCTCAAGGTCCTGCTTCTAGGTCAGAAGAAGACAGGCTGGCGGAGTCGCGAACTGAGGTTTTTCTGGAGATTCAAGGTTCCAGGGTTTTGGGTTCTTGGGCTTTAGGGTTGTAGGTTTCCAGGGGCTGCCGCTTAGGGCCTGGAGAATGAAAACCCAGGCAAAGCGCATCAAATCCTCGAGCCAAAGCCCTAAAGTCACCTAAGACACGGCTGCAAACCCTAAGGGCCAAAGGGCTTAGGGCTTAGGGTTTAGGGTTCAGGGCTTAGGGTTTATGGGTTTAGGGTTTAGGGTTTAGGGACCCTGAAACCCCAAACTGAGGCCAAAACCCAAACCCTCGGGTCTAGCCCCAAAACCTAGACCCACATTTCCAAGCCGCCGGCCTTTGGGGGCTGTGGAGCTGGGGAGGGGAGTTTGCGGCGATTGGGCTCCAGGACCTTAATGCTTAGGGGTTTAGTTCAGGGTTACCTGTTTCAAGGTGTGGCAATTTGGGCTTCTAGGGTTGTTGCTGTTGTGAAATTCTTGGTTGTCAGTCTTACTGCCTTTCCTAGAGCCAAGAGTAACCTAGGAATAAAGAGGGTGCCTTGTTTTTGCTTCAAAGGCGCTGAGAAAGGGAAACTAAACCAATAGAATAAGGCAATAAATAAGTGCCTACTCTGGGGCCTAGATTTTTTTTATCAACCCTAAACCCTAAACCCTAAACCCTAAACCCTAAACCCTAAACCCTAAACCCTAAACCCTAAACCCTAAACCCTAAACCCTAAACCCTAAACCCTAAACCCTAAACCCTAAACCCTAAACCCCAATGAGAATGTGCATTCTCCCCGGGCGCCCGGGCTCGCGGTCGGCCGACAGCCACCCAGGCGGAGGCTGCTCTGGCAGGACCTGGTGAGAGCAGCGGCAACATCATATGAAGTAGGGTTTATATTTCTTGTACCCCCAAAAGGACACCAAATATGTACACTCACCAAAATCAAAAAGGAACCTTATATACACTCACCAATAACAGTAATGTAAACCCTGCTTCATATGGTATCTACAAGGTATTGTACAGCTTTTTGTTTTTTTATCCATTATTGTTACTATGATTTAGTATTCTTGTTATATATATATATACGAATTGTGAGACAGGAACTACGGGGCGGCCTGCGTTTTGCAGCCTCCAGACAAAGAGCGAGAGAGAGGGAGAGAGGGCACTCAGCTACAGGAAAGCACCTGGCAAATGAAACGTTCAGAACAAAAGCAGGACACTGCTCCAAGAACTTCACAGGCATTGCCGCAAGCCCAAAGCGCACCTACTTCCGAGGGCGGCGTAAAATTGCAAGCAAGCAGCCGGATCGAGCCGGCTAACGAGAAGAACTACCGGAGCCGCAGGGCTCTGCAAGATGGCTGTGCTGCAGCACTTATGCCGAGGGGGGAGTGGAAGACGCAGCTAGGCCCGGCAGCCAGCCCCCCTCACTACGCCGGGTCCTCCCGAGCGCAGCCGTCAAGGCTTCCCAAGGTCGTGCCAGGCGAGGAGGGCGGAGTGCGCAGCCGACCCAGAGAGAGAGAGAGATATACACATAAATACATCTCTATATATATATATGTATGTATAAATGTATATACATAAATACATATATAGACTATGTGTGTGTGTGCATTACACATTCTGTGGAACACAGAATTCGCTCCGTTACAAATTCAATATGAAATTCTCTTAATAGTTGTAATAATAATATAGTATTACGGGGGCACTATAAAGAACTATATATGCCCCCGTTTCGTTCACACAGTTATAATATATTAAATCGTGCTTCCTTTCAGTCATTACACCCATCCTTTTACTCTTGTTTCCTTCACTTGGAGGCAATACTATGAGAGGTAGAGTGTTATCCAAATCAGGCGTTAGCAGGGTCTCAAGGTGTGATGGGTGAACAAGGCTGTGGAACAAGAGTGAGAGAGATGAATGGTATACGGTTTGTTGCGGGGGCCACTTAGGTTGCGGGCCACAACGGCGCACGCGGTGGGGCGGGGCCTTCGTTTCGACGCTCCCGCTGTGGTTTCGCGCGAATTCCTTTGCGTTTCGATGCTCCCGTTGTGGTGTCGTGCGAATTCCGGCTTCTTGTGGCCTCTTCAGGCCTCTTCTGGGGGGGCCACTTAGGTTGCGGGCCGCAACGGCGCACGCGGTGGGGCGGGGCCTTCGTTTCGACGCTCCCGCCGTGGTTTCGTTCCGTTGCGTTTCGATGCTCCCGCTGTGGTTTCGCTTGAATTCCGGCTTCTTGTGGCCTCTTCAGGCCTCTTCTGCCACAGCTGACGAGGCGAGAGGTTGAGCAGCATGAGCATCCGCTGAGCCTTTTGGCCCCCAAGTTCCAGACGCTTGCAACGCCGAATCCCCCCGTGCCCCCACGAACTTTTGTAGTTTTTGTACCCAGGAGTGTCGGTGCTCTTCTGGCCTCCTTTGGCCTTTTCTGGCCCTCCTCACTGTTTGGGGTCTACGCCGGCATAATCGCATTTTGGAGGCATGTTGAAAAAATCATATCACCAGGTAGGACCTGTACTGTGAACCCCAGAAGAACACCCTAAACCCTAAACCCTAAACCCTAGAACCCACACGAGCCCACAGGTGCTGTGGAAGCATCCCCCTACGCCCTCGCGACGTCACGCCAGCACCCTCTACAAAGCCTGAACCCTAAACCCTAAACCCCAAACCCCAAACCCTAAACCCTAAACCCTACACCCTAAACCCTAAGCCCTAAACCCCAAACCCTAAACCCTAAACCCACACCCCAAACCCTAAAACCCTAAACCCCTAAACCCCAAACCCTAAACCCTAAACCCTAAACCCTAAACCCTAAACCCTCAACCCTAAACCCTAAACCCTAACCCCAACCGTCGCGAGGCCTTCTTGCCACCGCTCTCCGCATCATTCACGACCTCCGGGAGGTGATAGGTTGGAGTTGAGGGTTTTTGGGGTTTAGGGTTTAGGGCTAGGGTTTAGGGTTAAGGGTTTAGGGCTAGGGTTTAGGGTTAAGGGTTTAGGGCTAGGGTTTGGGGTTTAGGGTTTCCGGGTCAGGGTTTAGTTTAGGGGTTGGGTGTTTGGGGGCCCTCAGAAACCATGGCAAGAAGCATGTACAACTTTCTGGGCTTTCGTAGAAGCAAAAATTCTAGCAAACTCCATGGGAACTGTAGGCCAAAAACCAAATAAAGTAAATCTAAACACTATACCCTGAACCCTTAACCCTGAACCCTGAACCCTGAACCCTGAACCCTAAACCCTAGCCTAAACCTGTCTTTCGGCGAGATCTGACCAGGTGTGGGTTCAGGCTGTCAGGCTTTGGTGGTTTGCAGCCCCGAGGCGGGAATGCACCCCCAATGACACCCCTAAACCCTAAACCTAGAGGGTTTAGGGTTTAGGGTTTAGGGTTTAGGGTTTAGGGTTTAGGGTTTAGGGTTTAGGGTTTAGGGTTTAGGGTTTAGGGTTTAGGGTTTAGGGTTTAGGGTTTAGGGGTTTAGGGCCTATAGGGCTTAGGGTTTAGGGCTTAGGGTTTAAGAATTTAGGGTTTAGGGTCTACGGGTTTGCGGGTTAAAAGGACACCCAGACAAACCCTCACCAAGAAGCACTTGCACAGTGATGAAGAGGGAGCCCCTTTAAAGCCCAGGTATGTTCTCTAGGGTTCAGGGTTTAGGCTTTTGGGTTTAGTGTTTAGGACTCTAGGTACATGGGTGCTTAGGGAACCGAGGTTCAAATCTACGCCAATTATGACCGCATCAAGCAGAGGCAATATGCCAACGTCTGTCATATTTGCATGCATTTGCAGGAGCATGCTGAGTGCCCAAACAAAGGCAAGTTTGAGGGAGGATGGACACATAAGACAAGAAAAGCAGGTCACATGAAACTGCCAGCAAATGAGCGACTTGATCTCTCCAGAACTCTTTCGCAGGCTCTCTGACGGGCGCAGCCTCGGTCCGGAAGATTTTAATTCCTGGGACTGAATTTGTGCTGGCTGGTCTTCACGCGCTTTGGGACTGAATTTGCACGGCTCGTCTTCACGCGCTGGCGGGGTAGCCGGCGGGCTTGTCGCATGACGCCGACGATTTGAATGCGGTCTTACAGTCCTCAGCCCCCACCTCAGTTGCGCGTTGAGCTTAGGACGATGATCATCATGATCATGATGAAGGCGATGATGAATGCTAGAACTATATGCAAGAGTACTTGTGCGGGTACGTTGTAGAGTCGTAGCCGAATTCTTATCGACTTGACAAAGTCGGTTGCTGTTACTTCGAGGGGGGCTTTGATGAACAGAGGTTGCCAGGATATGTCTTTCTGTCCCAGTCGTGGAAAGGAGTAAATGGAAACCATACCCCTAAACCCTGAACCCTAAACCCGAAACCCGCCCCTAAACCGACTTTTCTGCTGCCAAGGATCATCGTACTGACCATCGCAGATGCATTCGCCATTTCCAGAGGCTTGCAGCAACGAAGCCGAGCAAAGGAGGTCCGCGCACCACTGCCACCAGTAGGCCACTTGAAGGCAGCAGAGCTGGCAGAAGGGAACCACAAAAATGTTTGAGGACTTAAAACACAAGGCATGGACACCGCTGCAGCCTCCCTCTTTGTATACTATGTCCATGAGTATTCTGACGGTTAACGAGAAAAAGACACTACCGAGCTTTGCATCAAAGAGTGCAGGTGATTTACGCGGCGCCGACTGCCGAAACAGAGGAGAACTCGAAGCTGCCCAAACCCTATTAAAAAAACACTATAAACAGCCCTCTTTGCCCTAAACACCCTAGAAAAGAACCCTCTAGAAGCCCTAGAAACCCTGTGAAGCCGAGCCTGGAACGCAGTCCCAGTTTTCTTCGCCGACTCGGTCACATTCAAGAGCTGCGTAATCCGGCCCACTTGGCTTTCGAGAAGGGACCGCTTGGGTGCCTGCAACCTCCGAGGGCTTCGGTTTCAGGGTTTAGGTTGAGGGTTTACATGGGTTTAGGGTGTAGGATGTAGGGTTTAGGGTTTAGGGAGTATCATGAGCATCTTGGAGCAAAGGGGCTTCTCCACGTAGCCGGACCCACGATGTGTTGCACTTTGAAGGAGGCTTGCGGCACGCGAGTCTGGAGCATCACCCGTGCAGCTCTGCGAAGTGGCCGCTGTCGCCTTATAGGTGACCAAACCCCAATAAGGATCCATGTACCTGAACAGTATGTAATTACTTGGGCTTTGAAGGGATTCCTATCTGGCAGCTTTACGGCCCGAGTGTATACGATGTAGGTACATGGATCCTTTGGGAGTTGGCCAAAGAACTGAAACGTCCAACTCTTGACTCTGGCAAAGGCGCCACAGGAACCCAATTCGATCCAAGTTGCCGTCCAGATGCACAAGAAGGCTACTTTCACGAACATGGCACTCTCAAGCGAGCGGGCGCGGTTGAAGCGAGGGAAAGTCTGTGTTTTGCTTGAGGCTCTTCAGGCACACACGGGTTCCAGGTAGGCTTGCTGCAAGGAAGACTTACATTG